GGGTTCAGAGGGTGGGAGGGGGATCAGGGCTGGGGCAGGGGGTTGGGGCACAGGAGGGGGTTCAGGCTACAGGCGGCTACCCCCTCTGGCTCCTACGCAGTGGCACAGCCAGTTGGCTCTGTGCGTTGCCCCGCGCATCTCCCATTGGCTGTGGTTCCTGGCCAATGGGAGCTGCACAGCGGCGTTTGGGGCAGGGGCAGCATGCAGAACCCTCTGGCTGTCCCTAGGTGTAGGAGCCAGAGTGGGGACATGCTGCTGCTTCTGGAGCCGCACGGAGCCACGGCAGGCAGGGAGACTGCCTTAGCCCTGCTGCACCGCTGACCGGACTTTTAACGGCTCAGTCAGCAATGCTGACCGGAGCCACCAGGGTCCCTTTTCGACTGGGTGTTCTGGTGGAAAACCGGGCACCTGGCCACCCTACCTGCTGCATGCCAGCTGCGTTTGTTAGGTGGCCTGGAGACTGGCTCTGCTGAAGGCCCTGCTTCCTGGCAATAACTGAGCCTTCACAACAGGGATTATTTATAAGGGGAGAGGGTCTGTATCCTTCTGTGTATCTGTGTGTGTGTGTGTAGCTCTGTGTATGTGCATGTACACGCAGGTGTGTGTGCATGCAGCTTTGTATGCATGCTGTGTGTGTACAGTTCTGGGGGGTGTACATCAGTTTGTGTTTTTGTGTGTGTAGCTATGTGTGTGCATGCGTGTGTGTGCATAAGTACTTGTGTGTGTGTTTGTTCAACTTTGTGTGCATGCTGAGTGTGTGTCTATGTGCACAGCTGTATGTGTCTCCTGGTAACAAAATCTGAGCCAAAGGGTGCTAACTGCCATTGAGCATCGATTTCCCATGGGGAAGGGCCAAAACGGGGTGTGACTTGCATGTCTTCATTGAGGCGTGGAGGCTCTCATTGCTGTGAGGGGAAGTGGGTTAGATTGACCAAGCTGTGACCCTGTTAGCGTTGCGCTTTGGGCATGTGCTGTTGATCTCTCACCAAGCTTCTCAAGTGTGCATCCCAGACAAGGTAGGCCCAGCGCAGCTGCGTAACTAGCGAGGGCAGTATGTAAGGCTTCTGCAGACTTGGTGAGGTGCCCGGGGTGAGGGTGGGCTCCTGGCCATTGCCAGGGCTCTGGGACAGTCACCCATGACCAGTGGCGTAGCCAGCTTTTAAGAGGAGGGGGAGCAAAGATAAAAAAGGCGCCCCCTCTTGGCTCCTCCTCTGGCCACGCTCCCTTGGCTCCTCCTCCGGCCGCACCGACTATCCCCCTCCATGGCTCCTCTGGCCCTGCTGTGCCACCCCCGTGGCCCCCCCTCTCGCTCCTCCGGCCGTGCCCTGCGGGCCGCCAGCCTGGGCGCCCCCTCGCTCCTCTGGCCCGGCCGCGGCTGCCAGGCCGTGCTGTGGGCCGCCAGCCTGGGCCTCCCGCCCCCCTCGCTCCTCTGGCCCGGCCGCAGCTGCCGGGCCGCCAGCCTGCACCCCCCACTCGCTCCTCCGGCCGCTTTTGGAAAGGCGGGGGAAGCGGCTGCTTCCCCTGCACCCCGCTAGTTACACTAGTGCCCATGACCCAGGAATGGAAGGGAGACGAGAGGATGGGATTAGCCAGTGTGCTCAGGGCTTTGGCACACACAAGGATGTACCCATGCACTGAGCTGCATAAGGAGAGACTGATTTCAGTGGACGCCGTACACCACTATCACGCCCTAGAGGCTCTTCAGTGGTTCAGTGGACCCCTCCCGCTGGGCTCAGGTGACTGATGCTAGTGCTTGTTCCGGGTACTACCCCAGGCTAACTGACCAGCACGCACATGGCTTCCCAAAGTGGGGCTGGAGCATGACAGGAGCATCCCTGGCTGTGCTGCCAGCTCGTTTGCTGTCTCGCTGGTCGCCACAGGAGGCAGGGCTGTGCCAGCAGGTCCGGCTCCAGCACGAGGGTGCTGCGATCACCTCCTGGATACTGAGGTTGGTGACGTGCAGGGATTTCAGGAGGTGAAGAGGTGAGGGGGGCACAGCGTACTCCAGGGCAACTGCAACGCCTCGCCACGGCTCCCTGGGCTAATGAGAGCATAGACCCCAGCTGGCAGAGACAGGTGCCATGCCAACAACCCCTCAGCAGCAACAGGATAGGAGCTGAGACGCCTGCTGGAGCTCAGTGGGAAGATGGCTGTGTGGGTATGTGACGACCACCCTCCTGGCCTTACACCGGTGACTGAACCACAGACCTTCAAAGCTCACAGCATGAGTCTCAAAGCTTGAGCTGCAGAGCCAGGTTGGGAAGCTGGGGCTGGAACAGACACAGGCAGAGGGGCCCGGTAACCCCCTGTGACCAGCAGACTAGCCCCCCGCAACTCCCCAGAATTCATGCGTGCTGGGTTTGCAGGCACTTTCTGCTGCACCCCGGCCTGCCCCCAGGCACGATCCCCTCAGGGCACAACTGCGGCTGGGAGCAGGGAGCTGATATGGTTCACAATGCCCCTGCTCTACAAGGGGAGAATGGGAGCAGCCGACTCTCCCCCATGTCCTGGAGCTGGCTCGCTGCATAAGCTGCTCTAATGTCATTTTATGAGCCGTTATTATGTTTCCATAACTGCTGGGGGCCCTCGGAGCGCTCTGACAGCTGCACGGCTCTGTGTGCTGCATGCCCCAGCAGTGCTCTGCACAGGCAGCTGGCCAGTGGCTGGCTAGGGGAGGAAACTGGGCATGTTTCCCAAGAGCTTTAGTTCTGTGCTGGGCACATGGGTTATGAGACTCAGGCTCTTGGGCCTGCCATAGACCAGGGCTGGGAGAGGGGAACACGCTGGGTGAGGGCTAGGAGGGCGGTGCTCTGGCAACAGGGGGAAGGGCGGGGAGGGCTGTCAGGAGGCGTGTGAGATGTTCCAGCTGCTGGAAGCCGATGGCATGTGGCTGTGCTCAGCTGTGTCTTTGCCGGGCCCTCCATCGTGGACTTGCTGAGCATGTAGGGTGACCAGATGTCCCGATTTTATAGGGACAGTCCCGATTTTTGGGTATTTTTCTTATATAGGATCCTATTACCCCCCACCCCCGTCCTGATTTTTCACACTTGCTGTCTGGTCACCCTATGAGCATGGCTGGCTGGCCCTGCCCACTGAGTGCTCTCTCTGCTCCATGCATTCCCTATGCCTCCCCTGCCACTCTCCTGTTGCATTCTCTCCTCCTCCAGATGCCTCGCTGCCTCTCCCTCCCCTGCCCCAGGGGAGCTGGAGCTCTGCCTCTCTCCTTCCCAATGCAGCTGAAGGAAGGCCTGGGCCTTGGCGGTTGCTTTCTTCCTCCTAGGCAGTGCAGGAGCGGAGCCCAGAGGAGTGAATGACGGGGAGTGGCCCACAGTTCATGTTTGTCCTCAGCGGTTCTGACAGCTGTGTTAACGCCAGCCACAGTAAGCCCTGACTAATGGGCTAGGAGGAAGGTAGCAAAGAGCTTGATAAGAAATTAGATTCAGCAGATCCATGCTTATCCCTGTTAGGCTGTTGCAGCACACCCCAGGGCTGCCCAGAGGGGGGGGCAAGTGGGGCAATTTGCCCCAGGCCCCGGGCCCCGCAGGGGCCGCCACGAGAATATAGTATTCTATAGTATTGCAACTTTTTCTTATGGAAGGGGCCCCTGAAATTGCTTTGCCCCAGGCCCCCTGAATCCTCTGGGTGGCCCTGGCAC